TGGTTTCGGGGTTCCAGGTAGGGGTTTATGCAGCAAAGCTGCTAGGGCTGCTTGCTCCAACTCCGGGCGAAGTGGAAAGCCTGTTGCAAAAAAGGGGTTTATGCGGTTTTGGGTTTTGGGTCTAGAGGTTTATGGGTTTTGGGTTTTAGGGTCTAGGGGTTCAGGGGGGTTGGGTTTGAGGGTTCAGGGCAAGCCTTCGAAGAGGTCAGGAACCCTAAACCCTAAACCCAAAACCCTAAACCCTAAACCATAAACCCTAAACCCTAAATGGCAGGCAGCCTGAAACCTTTGATCCTCCAGGCCTTAGATGTGAGGTAAAATTCCGGAGTCCGTACGCCCGAAACTTAGGTGAGGAGGGTGTAGGGTAAAACCCTGAAGGCCCTAAAGCCTAAAAACATATCTCAACCCTCAAAGGCCCTACCCTGCCAGTCTCCAAGCTACTATAGAAGCCTAAATAGATACCAATATTGTTTCTTAGAAGGTTCCTTATATTTTAATTGTATTATAATTTAAAGGAGCCCCTATTCTAATGATTGAGGCCCCTACATTATACTCCTCCCAACCCTGAACCCTTCAATGCCCAAACACGCAGTGCTGATGACCTACATGTTCTGGTTTTCCTCAACCCGAAGCCCCCAGGGTTTAGGGTTTAGGGTTTAGGGTTTAGGGTTTAGGGCTGAAATCCTTCAACCGATACACCCCGTAACATGGAATCCGAAGCCCAATAACCCCATTAACTATGTTGGTCGTATGATTACTGTGATTCTGATTATTGTTGCCATTCTGATTCTGACTCGATTAGAAAGAACGCCACTCAGGAAAGGCCACGAGAGCGAGGAGGTCGATCCTTGCTTGACGCATCTGTCCTTCTGGGTTTGACAAAACCAGGGCTCTATGGCATTGCTGGGTTCGGTGGTCGAGGTTTTTTTGGGATTCAAGGGTTGGAGTCTGACCGTTTGGGTGAGAAGGATTGAACCCTCAATTAACCAACTTTCTTTGGGGGCTTAGGGTATCGGGCAATCGGGTTGGGGCATCAGGGGTAGGACCCATCGTTGCTGGGCGCTTACTTAGAGTCTTGCCGGCTTTTTCTGCCCACGCTATAGACGTTTGGACGTCTTTGCTTTAGAGGTCCCCTAAACCCAGAAACCCGAAACTCGAAAGCCTAAAACCCCAAACCCCCTCCAATCGCCTAAACCCTACACCCTAAACCCTACTCTACACGCTAAAGCCCAATGCAAGCTTGGTGTGGGGGTTCTTGGGGTTCGCTTGGAGATCTCCATCCTTTGTTGACAATCTTGTGTTCGGTTTATAGTTATGGGGGGCTTCAGGGTTTAAGGCACACCTTCTGGGGAGCTCCCCAGCGACGAGGCAAGGAGCCCGGTTTCGGTTTTCTGGACTTCATTAGATTTTCGGCGGGTTTAGAATTCATACGGCTTATATGGTCTTTCTGGGCTTTGAGGTTTCAGAAGGCTACTGGGCGACAGGCCGTACCGTTTTCTGAAGCCAGGAAAGCGACCTTGCACGAAGAAAGTCCGACAATGGCGAATATGCATCGGTACTTGATGAAGCGTGCTAAGCGAACAGCGCAACTAAAAGTGTTCTGGCTATGTGTGATGTGACAGTATCGTTTATTGAGGGCATTCTCCCGAAACAGTTCTATGACATGCTGCAGGCCGTTCCTAACTTGTTTCTGTTTCGTCAGCCATATCTAGCATCGGTCACAGTCTTGGAACTGTGAGGTGGCATGGCTTCTTACGTGCACGCACCCGAGTTATTTAGGGGCATGCATGGAGGCAGCATGTTCTGCAGTACGCTTCCTCGATTACCTCATGTGAGAGGGATCATCAAGTAGGCCGTCCCGTCTCCGGAGAATCAGGACATTGTTGTGCGACCTACATTTCTGGCACCCTGGACATGCTACATCTTCGCTAGCTGGTGCGAGTCTAGGCTGTACCTATGCATTTGTGGTGTCCACGTGTTTTGTATTCTCACGAGATTCGGCGCATCCGGGTTCTGATTTTCAGGACTGTGGGGATGTCGGGCTTGTTCCCAGCCCTTTCGCACGTGGGTACTCACCCCCTGATCACCCGATAGTTCTGAGTAATGCCTGAGTGATGATGGCAGTGATGATGAGGTGGTGCTACTGCTACAAGACGGTGACTATGAAGATGAAGACGGTGATCATGATCAGAATTCGCTCAGCTTGCTCCTATTCAGTACCTTGTTGTTTGAACACCCTGAACCCCAACGGCTTCAACAACTTGTCAACAAGGAAAACCGGCTTTCACCTTAAACCCTGAACCCTTATGGGGTTTAGGGTTTGGGGTTTAGGGTTCACAGTTTAGATCTCTGCAATGCGAGAGGGAAAAAACGCTATGGGGTACAATGACTCTCACTCCGACTACGCCTGAGACCTCGCTTGGCTCGTCCGAGATGTGAGAGTATAAACCTTAAACCCTAAACCCTGAATCCTAAACCCTGATTTAATCCCAAAACCCAAAGCGCTAAACCCTCAATCCTGAACCCTAAATCCTATAGACCCTAAACCCTAAACACCCCCTGAATCCTAAACCCTAAACGCCCCCTAAATCCTAAACCCTAACCCCTAAACACCCCCTACATCCTAAGCCTAAACCCCAAACACTCCCCTAAATCCTCAACCCTAGACCCTAAACACCCCCTACATCTCGAGGTCTTCGGGTCCTTCGATCTCCTCGTCCCCTACGTGAGCATGATCCCAGTGATGATCAAGTTCATCCTCATCGCTCCCTCGGTGGAGGGTTTAGGTTTGAGGGTTTAGAGGGTTCATAGGGTTTGGGGTTTAGAGGGTTTATAGGGTTTAGGGTGGAGGGGTTTAGGGTTTAGGGGTTAGGGTGTAGGGGTTTAGGGTGTAGGGGTTTAGGGTTTTCGGTTTAGGGGCTGGGGTTTAGGGTTTAGGCTCCTTCCACACGTTTTTTTCTTTTGTGGGGCTTAAGGTTTGTGCACTGCAGCCCCCGTTGCCGTTCAAACCCTAAACCCTTAAACCCACGCCAAAAACCGAAAAAAAAAAGACCGACAGGGCTCGGGTTTTAGGGTGCGGGGTTTGGGCGACCGACTCCACAGTACATCCGGCTGTCAGAAGACCACACGTTTGAGATTTGACCGGTTGGGGTATAAGGTTTCGGGTTTAGGGCTTAGGGTTTAGGGTTTAGCGTATAGGGTTTAGGGTATAAGGTTTCGGGCATGTTCGGGCTTTCAACTCCTTTATGATGATCGCTGCTCCCGGATTGTCCAAGTTGCGAGAGCCGAACCCTTAAATTTAGGCTCATCCTAAACCCTGAAGCCTTAGATCCTAAACCCTGAACCTAAAACCTTGAACCCTAAAGCCCCAAACCCCTAAACCCCTAAAACCTGAAGCCCTAAACCCTAAACCCCTAAACCCTAAACGTTAACCCTAAATCCCTAAACCCTGTCAAACCGTAGACCCTGTTTGAGACGCCTCAGGTTCCTGCGAGCTGCTTCCTTACTGGGATGTTTTGCCGCTACTACCGAGCCATCCAGCGCATGCAGGATCTTCTGAGGTTTCGGGGTTTAGGGTGTAGGGGGTTGAGGGTTTAATGCTTAGGGATCTTCTGAGGTTTCGGGGTTTAGGGTGTAGGGTTCCGGGTTTAGGGCTTGGGGATCTTTTGTGGTTTCGGGGTTTAGGGTTTGGGGTAAACCCTAAACCCTAAACCCTGCTCCAAAAGGGTTTGGGGTTGGGCTTTGGAGTCGTTGATTCAGTATTTGAACCCTAAACCCTAAACCCTAAACCCTAAACCCTAAACCCTCAGTATTTGACTGTCGGGTGTTTCGGACCACCCAGGCGGGTCCTCGGTCTGATATCTTGTTCCTTGGCTTGGAGCCCCAAAAGGTCTTATGTACTGTTATGGGGCGTACTTCCCTAAATCATAATAGTAATTCCTATTATAGGAACCCTACATTCTACTATCTAGGTACTTAGGACCCTTTGGGGGCTTATAGGGGCTTGAGGACTGATATGTTGCTCTCTCCCGTCCCACGCTTCGGCCTCAGTACGGTTGTCAGACTATTACAGGCGGCTAGGGATTTCCTGACCCCCCGAAAGTAGGGCAAATAAGGATCCAACACCGATAAACGGCTATTATTCTACATATTTTTGGGGGCCCGGGTTAGGGTGTTCTGGATAAGATGGTGCAGTGATTGCGGTCCTCTACTTTAAGGGAATCTTCAGCTGCAGCTTAGTCCGTTGTCATCCACAGCTTGTCCTTTGCACCCCTTAAATCCTGATTCCAAACCCTGAACTCGGGCCAAAAAAAACCTAATCCTAAACCCCATGTAAGCCGTAAGCTCTTGCCTTAAGAAGGGGTTAGCACCTCAGTCCCTGAAAAAGGTTCTTGGGCTTGGGGCCTATAGGGTTTAATACCGGTTGATATAGTGTTTAGGCTTTCAAGCTTGCTGATGTCTTATGAAGACCTTAAGATTCCACCAGCTTGCGGGCACTCACCCAAAGCCCGTGCTGAAAAGTGTCGTTGCGTTCAGGGCTTTGCGGTTTAGGGCTTTGGGGTTTCAGGGTTTTGGGTTTAGGATTGGGGTAGGGTTGACTGTGTGTTTCGACGAACGCAGGCATTTTCAGTCGAAGCGCTTAAGCAAAGTCACAGATCTATCTTCTCAAGTCCGCAGTGGCTGGCACCGTACAATCTAAACGTCTACGGCAAACGTAACTTACAGCATCTCCCCAACCACACCATAGCCATGGGTCCATGGACCTTGATCATCTCCTCCGCCGTCTTTGCTCTTTTGAGCTGGTTGGGCTATCACATCCGGAGTGTGATCGTGGACAACTGCACCCATTGCGACACGGGAGAAGGAGGCCATGTCCTGACCTCAAAAAACCCCAGACCCTGTAACCCTGAAGCCTGAAAAGCCGCAACTGAACCTCATACCTCTAACCCCCCTCGTACCCTAAACCCTAGAAGCCCTAAAACCCTAAACCCTAAACCCGAAAACCCTAAAAGCCCTAAAAGCCCTAACCCTAAACCCTAAGACCCTAAAAGCCCTAAACCTATAACCCTAAAACCCTAAAGCCCCAAACCCTTTAACCCCGAGGTCAAGATCCCCAGAAGTCCTTTGAGGGCTATGCGGAGCGCGCAGAGCAGTGGAGCCGCGGGGAACTCCCCGATTGGGATGTGGCGGTGAGTGGCCCCGCATCGAAGGCTGCGTCCTAGGTAGTATCAGGGTTCAGGGTGTAGTGGTGTAGGGTTTAGGGGTTTAGGGTTTGAAGTTTTAGGGTTTAGGGGTTTAGGGTTTGAGGTTTTTGGGTTTAGGGTTTGGGGTTGGAGGTTTTAGGGTTCAGGGTTTAGTGTTTCAGGGTGTAGGGTTTTAGGTGTGGGGGTTTAGCGTTTTAGGGTTTAGGGTTTAGGGTTTTAAATTCTAGGGTTTTAGGTTTTAGGGGTTCAGGGTTTAGGGTATCAGGGAGACCCCTGAAAGGGACCCTAGATAATCCTACTCATGGCTTCGGGCTTAGGGATTTCAGGTTTAGGGGTGTAGGGTTTAGGGTTTAGGGTTCTAGGTAGCATTAGGGTAGTAATAAGGAGTCCCCTTAAAGGGGACCCTAGTTAACCCTATATGTATGGCCCCCTTGAAAAGGACCTTATTGAGAGGGTCTCTCTCTCCAAGGCTCCCGGCACTGCACTCTTGGGGTTTATGGAGTAGAATCCTACCAGAACAACAAAGAACCTTGGCGATCAAATGGTTCTGCCAGAATTGAGAACCGTAGCCTCAAGCCTTTTCGGTTTGCAAGATCTACCAGAATTAAAAGGCATACTCCCAGCCACGGGGCTGGATTCACTGATTCACTCAGCCCCCGAAGAGGCCGAACCAACCCTGAACCCTAAACCCCAAACCCCGAAGCTTACAACCAAGCAACCCTAAGCCCCAAAACCTGAACCCTAAACCGCAGACCTTAAGCCTTACACCCCTGAATCCCCAATCCTAAACCCGATGACCCTAAACTCCCAAAGCCCTAAACCCCTAACCCCCTAGCCCCCATACACTTAAACCGAAATGGCCGAAGCCCCTTCAGGTTTATGTACTATAGGCTATAGACCTACTAGAATAGCAAAGAACCCTAGGGCCTCAAAAACAACAGGGCCACCAAGAGGCCTAACTCCACAAACCCATAAACCTCAACCCCTAGACACCTAAACCGAACTCCCTAAACCAGAAAAAGTTTAGGGTTTAGGGTTCGGAACCCATAACCCCTAACCCCTAAAACCCCACCCTAAACCCTAAACCCGAAACCCTAAACCCTAAACCCTAAACCCTAAACCCCACCCGAAGAGGCCGAAGCCGATGAGCTGAAGCCATTCTTTGACTGGCTCGGCTCTTTCCTGTCTTCTCGGAACATCAGCGCCTCAGTCTTTGACTTCCTTGCGGTTTGGGGGTTTTACGGGTTTAGGGGTTTAGTTTAGGGGTTTACGGGTTTAGGGTTTAGGGTCTCTTGCTCTTTCTAACCAAGAGGGTCCATATATACTACCATTATGAACCCAGGTCCCCAAAGGGTGCCGTGCTACTTTGGTGGCCTTAAAGAAGGGGCCCTAATTTAGAGAGCTACCCAAGTAATTGAGGGACGAAGTGGACCCTAAACGCATTTAGGTTCCTTTACCATTTCGGGGTGCAGAGTATAAGGGTGAAGTGCCCCTCCTTTTGAGGGTCAGCTGGTCCGGTAAGGTCATTTGCTGTGCGCCTAGTACCCGGAACCCTCAGGCCAAAGCCCCTAACACTTGGGCTTATTAGAAGCTTGAAGGTTCACTGTTCGTGTACAGGGTTTTGGGTGTAGATGTTGGTGATGTTGTTTGGAAGGGCGCAAATTCGATGTTCTGCATTCGAGCGCAGAGGGTTTTAGTCACAAACTCAGGTGCTTGGACTCACTGTGTTTGCGGCTTGCACTAGACAGGACAGCGTGAATGCACCAGAAGGTCGGGTAGGCTTCAATTACACATGTTTCGGTGTGGTAATTAATATTAACCTGCTACGCATTGCATGCAAGAAAGAATCACAAAGCAAAAACAGTTATGAGTCCTCATAGAGCCCCTGTAAAACTTCACAAAATCCTTGCACAACCGTACAACTGACAACACCTCCCATTCTCGCCAGGCGTCGGTGCACCTTTTGGCACGGTGCTGCCTCTTACCCCCCGCACCGATATCGTGTCCGCGACCAAGGAAGAGCTTGCATTTAGGGTTTGGGGGGAGGAGTTCTCATATGGGCTTCATGAGGGAAGCACCACCTTCTCAAAATGACATGGAAATGCGGATCCCAGAAGAATCAGAGCTCGCGGGACTTTGCATGTGAGTTGTAGGTAGAGGCATACTCATAAAGTACACCAAACCCTAAACCCTGAACCCTAAACCCTAAACCTTAAACCCTAAACACTTTCATTGGAAGTCGTCTAGCCTACTTATAAAGTTCCCTGATGCTTATGTTTGGTTTGTGCTAACGTAGCGGCCGAAATAATTACCAATACTGTTTTTTTT